GTTCTTTGTCCTTACTATAGCAAGCCATACTTCCTCTGCTGTTATGAGTGGTAGCGGTCCTTTCACAGGGTCAGCTGGTGGGATGGCTGTGCTACTGCTGCTAGTAAACGACATCTCTTCGAAGTACGTTCGCCATCTCTTAGTTATTTACTGTGGTCTCCTTAGCGTTTTTCCAACCTTATCCTTCAAATAGTAGAAGTGCTCCGTATCTTTTGTGAACTCTGCCCTCCCTCGCACTATTCGGTATATATCGCGCACTCCATCACGAGATTCCAATTTCTTATGCAGTTCTTCTACGTATGCTTTCTTCGCTTTCTTGACACATGTTTTTGCAGCGTGTTTCATTTTTAAGCACAACTGTCGTCGCTTTCCGATTTCGACCTATGCCATTGCTTGTACGCCTGACTCTTTTCCCTAATCACCGTTTGAACCTCATCGTTCCAATACCAAGTTTCTTTGTCGATTCTTCTTCTTCCTAGCTTCTTGTGACCCAGTAAACTTCTTGCTACCCGATGCACGTTACGCTTCAAGCTTAACCATGACTGTTCTGGTTTCTCACATAAGGCCGGTAGAGTACTTACAAGAGCTTCTTTGGCCAGAGAGTTCCCTTTCAATTTGCACCACCTGATTCGTGCTTTGTTGTTAATCATGAGTTTTCTTTGTCATTCAACCGGAATTTTTAGGTCTAGAAGTAGTGGCTTATGCTGAAGTATGCAGCTTTCACCTGGGATAAATTTGCAATCCTTTGTGGTCTTTAGGTTATTGTAACGCACTGCCCATTAGTCAATTTGTGTTAGACGGTCTCCATTTGAATACGTAATCAGGTGTTCATGCTTTTTGATGTAGTACCGTTGACTAATGCTAGGTTGTATGCTGTGAACTCTAGAATACGTTCGCCTTCTTCATTGCACGTGCCGTATCCGTGGTTCTCGTGACACTTTCCCGCACCATTTCTTTACTCCCCTACATGACCGTTCAGGTCTGCTCCGATCAGGAGTGTCTCATCCTGTGGTGTGGATGTGATGTAGCCGTTAAGCTCTTGCCAGAACATATCCTTTTCCTACATCTCTTGCATCCAGTTTGCGGAGCGTAGGCGGCAATTCGAAGGATTTTTCAACTAGTGTCAACCTTTATGCTCATAAGTCGATCACTTAATCGGTCAACTGCGGCAATCCTGCTTATGCTTTCTAAGACAGCTGTACCTATACCCGTTGCGACTGCTACTTGCACCATTGTAG